GAGAAAAGTGGGGCTCGAAGAAGAAGGGACATGTTTCCCGCCTTCTGAGTGAAATCTGGCTGAGGTCAACTGTCCCGGCAGCAAGTGGAAGATGCTGGTTCTTCCGAGTGCTGGGCACTCTGTATAGTGACCAGTCAGCCCACACTGCTCCCTGGGCAGGAGGGAGGCCGGGAACCCAATCTACAGATGGCCCTGCCTCTCCTGCACCTCACGCCCTCAACACCAAATAGCTTATTAACTCCAGGAGAGCCAGTCTGAGGAAGTAGCGACAGGGAAAACAGGCAGTTGTGTGCACTAGGTAGATAGGTACCCACATACAGACGATGGCTATTTTCTGTCTCCAGACAATCATCCCACTTTTGACATCAGGGATGAAATCAAATTGTGTGGTACCCATAGTGTCATCATGGCTAATGGGGCTAACAAAGACAACAGTGTTATGTTTTTACCTCTTCCTTTTACACTTACTTCACCTGAGTCTTCTATGAAGGGAAAGGTGGGCAAATTCTTCGCCCTCCTTATTCTTCTCTGTCCCCCATGAATCCTGGGTTCTCTTACATTTCTCTTGTGATCTGTGGCTTGAGTAGGATAAAGGAGTGATAAAAGCCAGGCCTTTTGCCCTCTTTCTTTCTCTGAGGCGGTGGGTGCCAGGGCTCCTGAGGCAGCCGCAGGGTGGGTGTGCCTCCAGGAGGAGGCCAGGCACTTGGCTTCAGCTCTCTCTGCTCCTGCTTTGTTGACAGTCCCCACTAACACTGCCGGCATCAGGGCTTGGCAGACACAGGAAGGAAGAGATGTGTTCTTTAATGATGGAAAAATATTATAGCACAATGCCCTTAAAATAGAACGTGTGTGCCTAGCCTTTTATTTTGGGGACTTTATTGTTGTAACCACCTCCCCTGGGAAATGCTGGGGGAGCAGAGTAATTGTGTAACCCGAGATATCCCCGAGAGAGCCTGCAGGATGATGTCAATACACAGGGTTTTGAAACATGGCTACATTTTCATGCTGATCAGTGCTCTTGTAGATCACTCCCCTTCCAAACTCCAGTTTCTGTAGAATTAGGGTCATCCTCTATATGCTGCCCACTTCACTAGACGGCTCATATGAGGATCTACCAAAGCAATGGGCAAGGCTGTGCCTACAAACTGAAACCCCACTCATGTTGATTGCCGTTGTTATTGAGAGTGGCAAACCCTGCGCCTCATGGGTGTACACTTTTCATTTTCTATGAAATAAACCTTAGCCCTGTGGTCAAGATTTATGCTTCTGTGTTGACACGGACTAGGTGTGCAAACGGTCAGCATTCACCCCAGAGACCTGACACTGTTAGGAAGATCGGCTCCCTTTCTCACCACCCTGTGCCATGGAAGGGCAGCTGTCACGAAGAGCTGGCAAAAAAGAGAGCCTTGGGCTCTCAGACAGACTTTCCTTCTACTTCCTCATCCTAGCAAACCCCGGGGAATCTTGCCTGCCTTTCTTTCTTTCTGGCATTTGATATTGGGTCCAATGCCCCCTTCGTCTGTCTTATCCCCCCCCCCCCCCCTGAAAATCACCCATGAAAAATGCTTCTGACTTCATGGTTCCCTACTTCTCCCTTTCATTAGCACCGCTTTATTTGGACCATTATTGCAACCCGTTAGCACGGCTGATGACTTGCTCTGGAGATGATGTTAATGATCCTCAAGGGAGTCTTCATCTGAAGGTGATTAGGAAGAATAAGAACGTTGCTAGGCACCTCCGTTGGCATTGGTGGGCTGTAAGGGACCCGTGTCCAGGCCCCCCTGCAAAGATCTTGGTTCCCCTAACACTGTGGTTTAGGACAGTTCACATTTGATCAGAAAGTACTGAGGTGGAACACGCGTTTTACAGGAAAAGGGGTGAAAGGGGGTGAAAGTGGGTTCTGAACACTGTGACATTTTTGGGTATGAGGCACCCAGGGGAGAAAGGCTCCTGAAAGCATTTTTTTTGTGTGTGTGCACATGTGTGTGTGTGTGTGCAGAGATGTTTGTAGAGGGAGATGGGGGACTCCCCGCTACTCAACTGCCTCTCTTGATTTGCTCCAATTTCATTTCCATTTGCTAGAGGGACATCTGCACATTTTTCTGCCCAGCCAACATTTCATGCACATCAGTTGAGCCCTAACTCTCTGGTGAGGTCATCCCCCCTCCACCCCCAGGCGTCCCAGGGGGTTAGAGCTAAGGAGACACAATACTCTAAATGGAATATTGAAGATCCCCATCTGTCTGGCAGTCCCAATCGATACACGTGAGCCCTTCCTTTCTAATCCTGTATACACGACACGTCACCACCTGGTTGGAAGACAAGCCTGAGATGTGGGTTTCTAAGGGTTACTGAGTCTAAGCGCCCAGCTGTCACAGTGCTCAGCCAGGACAGGGATTATGCTCTTAATCATGTTATTCTGTTACTAACGGGTTCTTTTAAATTCCCCTCACCCTTTGCCCCTCAAGCAATAGCACCAGAGTCTGAAACTGTAGGTGCCTTTCTGACATTTTTACCTCACTTGCTGAACGACTGTTTTTGAAAGAGCTTTTGTTCAGGCAGTCAAACCCAGGCACCATGATTCTGGGGGATCTGGTTTGGACCAGTTTGTGTTTACGAACAGAGCGCTGAAGGAAAGCAAGCAGGTCTGGTCCCATGAAACACCTCACCCATTGGTTGCATTGGATGGGACAGCTACTCCTTAAAGCCAATAGTTAAAAAAAAATCATCCTGCAGAAATCACTGGCCCTGTAACAAGCAAGCAAGCACACACAATGAAAAAGCTGGGTTGTCTGAGGCACTTCAGCCTGAGCAGGATATCCCCGGGGGACCCAACTAACACACAGGCTGCACCTGTTCAGCCTCCGTCACCTCTTCCCCAGACAGAACAAAGCTGACTGCAGCAGAAGCCACCCTACCATGTATCAGGTTGCACATCAGGGACTGTCTGCTTCCAGCCAGTGTGATCTGAGCTCCTCCAGCCCACCCTCCCCTGGGCCCAGAGGAAGGAATTTGGGATGCCTGAAAGGGGGGGCGGGTGGTGAGGCGGGTAGGAAGGGCTTCCTGTGAGAAAGGATGAATGAGAGTGAGATGGAGAAGCTGTCTGGGCTGAGGGAGTCTCAGCTTCCCAGCTAGTACTGCTCAAAGGATGTGAATGAATGGGGTGGGTGTGGGAGAGGAATAAGAGACAGATGGATAATCTTCAGAAGAGCTGTTCTGCCACCGCTTTAGGATTGTGGGCACATCCCTTCCCTCTGAGGACCTCAGCTTTCTCATGTTTTATTTATTTTCATTGACTTCAGAGAGGAAGGGAGAAAGAGAAACATCAATGATAAGAACCATTGATCAGCTGCCTCCTGCACACCTTCTACTGGGGATTGAGCTGGCTACACAGGCATGTGTCCTGGCCTGGAACCAAACCATGACCTCCTGGTTCATAGGTTGATGCTCAACCACTGGGCCACACAGGCAGCTTCCTCATTTTTTTTTTATTTTTTTATTTTTTTTTAAAGAATGGATGAGAGTAACTGTTTATCATTCTGTTTTACGTTTGGGTGTAAGTAGATAGGATAAACCTGTTAGTTTTAGGGACAAGATCTTTCTGGCAAAAGGGGATAACCACAGAGCTGTTTACTAAAGAATCTTATGTTGGATGGGGAGTTTTCACTTATGTCCTCCAAATAGCTTGGCATGCTGTTGGCACGTCACTCAGCAGCCTGCAGCCTCTCCGGGGACCGATCGACTTTTCACATTGCTGCCAGGTAGCTTTTTAAAGCACAAACACATGTGTTTGCTGCTTCATATATTCCAGACAGTGCCCATCAGCCAAAATCCTAGCACAGGGTAACCAGGACCCTCCTGGTCTTGGCACCGACCCTCTTTCCCAGCCTTGCCCCAGCCAGGCACTCTCAGGCCCTGCTCAAAGCAAGCACAGCACACTTGGTGCTTTTGCACACGTGATCCCTTCTACCTGGGCTAGCTGTCCAGAGGACTCATTCTGTCAGAACCAGCTCACCTGCAGCCTCATGGCCCAAACTTCTGGGCCATTTCCTCCCGAAGGTAATTACAGGGGCACCTCAGTCTGTCCTTATAAAGAGGAAGATGGAACCGTATCCCAGTAAATATTGTGCCTGACAGTGCCTGGCCCAGTGGGTGGGATTTCAGAAAGTCAATTGGAAATGACTTATCAAAAGTAACTAAATTACTACAGGTGTGAACTGAGGCTCAAACCCAGAACTTTTCACACTCAAACTGACCTAAAACATTAAAAAAAAAAAAATGAGTTCAGAAAGTCAAAAGTAAAGTATTGTAGCTGAGGCCTTATTTAAATAACTTTAAAAACTATCCCAGAGGTGAACACCTGACCTGGGCATTTCATAATGCTATTTTGCAAAGTAAAAATCAGGTGCTGCATCCCAGTTTACCCCCAGCGGTGTCTTCTGGTTTAAAGGAGATAAATGCCAACAAGGAGCGAAATCCAGCACCTTCTACCTTATTAATATGTAAAAAGGCTGAAGTCACATCTGTGCAAGGATCTATTTTTAGTGGACGGTTCATACTAAAATCCTAGCTTTGATCTCTTAAACTATCAAGCCTACCATAAATGTTTGATGATGAACAAGCCCATAAAAAGAAAATGCATAAAATGAATAGGAGTCAGTGCGTGCTCTGCTTTTTAATTACTGGTGGCTTCTGTGCAGTCCTGCTCCAGGCTGGGCGCAGGCAGAGAAAACACATCAACAACAATTTTTTTCTGGAAGGGGGAAGGGTATGGGTACTGCAAACACATGGGTCTAAATACACTGTTATTCATGCGTTGGAAGCCAAACACAGCTGAAGGAAAGAATGAACTGCTCCCGCAAAAGTGTGACATTTAAAAAGGGGGGGGGGGATTAAGAGATAAATAAAAGCATTCAGGACACAGAGGATAATGAACAGTCTTGTTTTATTACTTTTAAGTAATAAAGAGCCTTTTTGCTTGCTATTTTGTGTCCCCTCCCCCCCTTTTTTTTCTTTTCTTTTTTACAACATACATTAAGTTGTGAATCAGATGTTAAGGGATGTGGAGATGGAAGGAAAGTTGATGACATTACAATATTTTTACAACTTTACAACAAATAGAAATCTGAGTTTGTTGCATCTACCAGTGTCTAGCAAGGGTGGAAAGCAAAGGCACACTCAGGTTTATGGACCCTCCCCCCCACACGGGGTGGGGGAAAAAAGAAAAGGCGGAAAAATACTCAAATGCAGAAGACCAGCTTAATACACGTAGGCATTCTAGGGTCAACACTGCACGTGATGAGTTGTGGGGAGTAGGGCTGTGGGTTGGGATTTTGACACAGGTCTCCATAACACAGCCGAGGCAAGGACGTCCACACATGGGGATGAGATGGTGGGCACGGCCCCATCAATACTCTTGGGAGTGAGCTTGGGGAAGAAGGGAGCAGGGTAACACACACCCATCGCTTCCTAAACTTCGCATCTCTAAAGAAAATCCAAGGGGTAAACCAGCATCTTGGTTTCTATCTAAAAAACACTTCATGGTTTCAGGGCAGAGTTCACAGAATGTGAACACTGACCTCAGTTAACAAAACAAAAATATAAGGACACAAAACCAACAAGGCTTACCCCAAACAACAGCGAAACGGTAAGAGGTGTCTGGGGCAAAAGGTTGTGCGGGCAACCTTACCACACACCTAGGTCTCTCTGTGATTATGGAGGCATCAGGTTTTTCCTGCCAACTAGAAATTGCCCCAAATTTAGAAAGCTTTCCTTTAAAGACCAAACTAACCCCGGATCAAACTGGAAATAAAAGGACAAAGAGACCACCAAATATGTTTAACTGTTTAAAAAAACAACCAGAAATGCTCACAGTTTTGAATAGTATGTTGACAAGTCTTTTGTCCACGGTCAACAAAAGTCCCTTCGGTGCGCTTGCGCAAATGAAAACCAAGGGGAACAACACCCACCCACCCACCCACCCCCTACAAACCATAACAACAAAAAAGAAACTTAAAATTTTTAAAAAAATCTTTTGCCCCAGTCAAGGTTTTTGCAGCATCCATTGTAGTTGGCCTTGTACTTGGGAGTTACTCATTAATCATAGCAGGAACCAGCCTGCCTGCCTCTATTTCCGCATCATTTCTTTGTGTGCATCGCCTGCACGCACGGAGCACACGGCTTGGCGACTCCTCCCAGATGCCTGCCTGACCGCACTCGGCGTGCTCTCCAGCCCGTGGACCTGGCAGAAGTAAGGACGGGGACTTCAGTCCGTTTTCTGCTGGCAAATGAGGGTATTACCATGTTGAAATGATCTGAGAATCTAAGGGAAGCAGGGAGCTCTAGAGGGAGAGAAGGGACTTGCCACCCACAACACTAGGGTCCATGTTTAATCAACATGGCCAAAGGGTGACCGGAGTTGGCACGACTAGAGGGTGTTGTGCACCCAGCTTTCCCAGGCTGTGAGATTCTAAGCATCACCACTGCATTCTTCTTCTATCTGCTGGACAGCTAAATCCTCCAGGGGACTGGAGTGGGGTGAGGTAAGGGTGAAATAAATATCCGTATTTCAGAAGGAGGGAAAAGTTTATCATAAATGACAGTTTTTACAAGTGTACAGAACTCAGGGTGTAAGGCACACATTTACATGTGGAAAACAGGCTATTCACAGATGTCACCCCACGAAAAACCTGTGTGACCAAACCATTAATTTATGCAAGGTAGCAGCCAGCGTAGTGATTAGTTCACACCGTTGGTGGATTTTGTTGCGGTCTCACATGCAAGGCGGAATGAGATGGCGCATCACAAGCTGGTGCCTTCGCAAGAGAGTAGGAACCACTGACCAAAGCCGCATTGGCAGCAATGAGGCCTGGCTGTGCCATTCCAGACGTTCCTCTCCCAGTTGCTTTAGAAGTCAGGATCTGGAAGGACTTTTACACCAATTACTTTTTTTTTTTTGCATGTTATATAGCACAGAGATCTCACCAGCAAGTTAACTGGTAGGTTTAAATAAATACTCCCCTTCTGAACGTTCTCCTTTAGCTAGAGATCAGACAGTCCAAACACAAAGCTCAGATTCCAGCTCCAACTTATTTACTCAGTGAATTTATTGTAAAAATAAAGAAACTCAATTATTCCAGTTAATGGATTTCACGTTAAATAGTGTCACGTCAAGGGGGCTTTCTGAAGAGCTGTCCGTATGGGGTGCTGTGTGGAGGAGTCCATTCCTTAAGGAAAAAACAAAGGGTGAACAATAAATAAAGTTACTTGCGTTAACGGTCACGTTATTTCATTAAAAGAGAGAGAGGAGCAGAACTCTATGACATAGTTGCCCAACGTGGCATTAACCTGCTTAGAACAGAAAGCTGTAACACTGGTGGGCATTTCACAGTATCTGCGCATAGTAAACTTCTGCCATGGTTAAGAGTCTGAGTTAGAATTATCAATGAATTCCTTTGTCTTTTTAAGTTGCATGACTTAAAAAAAAAATCTATTTGTATTTTGCAAGTTGGGACGCTAAGCCTATGTAAGCAGAGCCCCGTGCAGTCACGGACAAAATCCTGCAGTTGCTGTCCACCTTTGTGTGACTGTGTGAGTGTCTCTGTGTGTGTGTGAGTGTGTGTGTCCGTGCGCGTGTCTTTCTGTGTCCGTGTGCGCACATGTGCACACGTGTGGGCATGGGTGGGTATGTGCTTTTGGCTCATGTTTGTGATGATCATTGAAGTCTTTTCGTGAGAACGACCTGTAGTGGGGAGTTGGGTTGGGGGAAGAGGGAAGGAAGAGAATGGAGGTGAGTCCCGCGTGGCAAACCTTCACCAAACCGCGTGGGCCACTTGGTGTGTGAGTCCTCCCCCCCGAGTCCCAGAGGCCCAGCGTCCGGGCGCTGCGGGCCCCCTTGGTCTGGTTGGTTGCGCTCAGGCCGCAGACACCGCACGCCTCGCCTTTCCTGCCGGCTCCACAGACACCTGACCATCCCCCCTGGGATTATGTACACGCGTCGTTGGGCTTCATGGATGTGGAAAGGGGGGCGAAGGTAGGTTTGGGGGGTACGTCCGGCTTTAGCGACGGGGTGCGCTTCAGCCCCGACCTGGTCAGCGAGCTGTAGGCGTTGAGGCTGGGCTGCCTGGACACAGTCCCCGCCGGGCCCGCCGCCGCCTGCGCGCCGTGCGCCGCCTGGATGGAGTCCACCCGCTGCGGGGCGGGGGGCGGGTTGTCCCCCCGGCCGAAGCTCGGGTTCCTGGAGAGGTGCGAGGAGTTGGAGGAGTTAGTATTGTTTCTTTTGAGGGTGGCAGCCTGGTGGCTCCTGGTGAGCGAGTTCGTGGGGTAGCTCCTCTTATAGTCAAGCCCGTAGGAGGAGGAGTGGTGCATCTCCAGCCGCTTGCCCAGGGGGGCGCCCCCGGGGGGCCCCAGGGAGGCCTCCCGCTGGGGGACCTTGGGGGGCAGGCTGTCCAGGTTCTCCACCAGGTTCACCCCGTGGCTGTGGTTGGGGCTCTTGCTGCCGAGGTGGTCCTTGATGGTCTTGTACTCCAGGGTGGCCGCCGGGTCCTCCAGGGCCATCTGGGCCACTTCGCTCACGGTGGGCTGATCCACGTACTCGTGCTGGTAGGCCTGCTGCGCGATGGGCAGCACCACCACGCTGGGGATGTGGCTGGGGGAGGCGCGCAGGGGTAGGTCCGTGGGGATCACGGGCGAGCCCAGGGGGGGCATGTCCTTGGTGCAGGCGTTGATGAGGTTCTGGTTCCTCTCCCACTCGCGGCTGCCGCGGCCCGGCCTGCGCTTCTGCTGCAGCGTGGGCGTGGACTCGGGCGTGGGCAGCGCCGCCAGGTCCAGGTGGTGCTGGTCCGCCTTGATGAGCATCTTGGCTGTGGTGCCGCCGCCGGGCGCGGCCAGCTTGCCGTTGTGCATGAGCGGCGTGAGGATGGCCTCGGGGGGCTTGGGCTCCTTGGCCTGGGGGTCCCCGAAGAGGCCGCTGAGCTTGGTGACGCTGCTCATGGAGCCCCGGCGCGAGGGGCCGAGCTCCTCCTTGCGCTGCGCCGCGGAGCCGTCCTTGCGCCGGTGGTCGCACACGCAGTAGACCACGATGCCCGAGAACACGGCGCCCATGACGAAGGCCAGGATGACCGCGATGGCCAGGAGAGTGACGGGGACGAGCTGGTCCTGGCCCTTGAGGTAACTCTCGCGAATCACTCCTGCAACAGACATAGCACGTGGGGTTAAGAAAGGCATGGACATAGGCTTCGGTGTGGCAGTCACCCTGCTAATGAATCACGGGAATAAGTGACAATAGCACTTCAGCACAACTCCTCTTCCAGGCGCAGCTTGTCAAACATGAACTATTATAATTAATCCTTCCCCAAGGCCTCCCAGCTCCCACCCCACCCGGTGAAGTATGTAAATAGACTTTCTTTGTTGCCTTCTTTGTGTTCTGAAAAAGGCTTCTCCCTCTCAAGGACTCCCTCTTTCCCCCCATGGAAGATGGCAGTTTTGTCATTTCCAAAATTCAGCCCTTTCCCCCTCTTCATCTTTTCTCAGTCTTCCCCTCGTAGAAGTGGGATAAGCGAGCTATTCTGAGTCAGGGGAAGAGGCAGCCATTCCACCCAGGTAAAGGCACAAACTGCACAAGACTTCAGTCTTTTCTGATGACTTCCTGGTGGGCACGAGGGCCTCTATCTGGAGAGAAGCTACAGATATTGGTCTTTCAAGTAACTGGAGGAAAGTGTGTCATTTGCAGCGAAAGAAAATAGCTAAAGCTCACAGATGACAAAGGTGTGCTGATTTTGCATCATCCCTTCAAACAAACAGAAATCCCCACGCACACCCACATTCAGGTAGATATGCTGAATATTTGAAGTAAGCTCTTCCCTTTTTTGAACTAAAAGGATGGTTAGAAAAGGAGGGACCATTTGGGGCCCCCAAAGTGGGTTTGGGAAGTGTCACGTCTTACTACGATGGCCGGAGTTTGTGGTGAGATTCTTCAGTAGAGCGAATCTCTTCCATTTAATAAAAATTACGTCACCACACCCGTCAGTAACCTTGCACTACATTAACCAGGAGTCTGTGTTTCTGCAGAAAGTTGCTGTCCCTGTTCCTGCTTAATCAGCCACCAAGCTGAGCAACTCTAATCAAATGCAAACACTGAAGCTCTTATTATTTAATGCCAAGTGAGAATACATCACCATCGTCAGATCTTAAGTGCTTGATGTGGTCGCTAAAAAATAAAACCTCAAATACTTCAATTCCTGCCTCTGGAGAGTGAAAGAACACGAATAATACATTACAGGCGCCGCTCTACCGCTCGCTCCGGCTGAGGAAATGTAAACATTGTTCCTATTATGGAAACTGATAGTAAGACCGAACATGTACCTCTCCTGGTCCCAAGAGACACATTTTTCATCTACTAACTCAACTCTTTCTGGAATATGTTTAATGTATTTTCCTGGCAGATATCAGTGGCACCGAATTAGAATGAAATGAAATAAAAATCTCCGCTGTTTCCCAAACCCACAGCATGCAGCCGTTACATTTCTGCTGAAATGCTCTGTTATGTCACATCTGGGACGGTGAAGAAACGCAGCTTTGTCTTGGGGCTTTCCTGGTAAAATATTTTGATGAGTGGAGTGATGGTTTTAAAACTCAGAAAACTTTAGCCTGAGATGATATATTTTCTTTTCGTTCTAAATTGTCCTCCTTCCCTCAATTTTGACATCACAGCTGGTTGCTATGGAAAGGATGGTCCAGGGACAAAGGATTGGGACTTCAGGTGGGGAATACATAGAAGCAGCAAATATCTCTTGCAAAAGATTCTGTGATTAAACAAATGTTCCTGGTAACAAGGGCGGGAGGGGGGCAATTCACCCCAGGTAAAGTGTATGTAAGATAGTAAGACACTAAATAATTTCCAAATGTGACACTTTTCAAATAATTCTAGATTTAGCTTCCTGAACTTTTAAGTGGTAGAAACGGAGAAGCAAAAAGCCAGCAGGAAATCCGGCTATTCCTCACACCTTTCATGTTATGTAACTCCCTGAACAGTGGCTTGTCTCTGTGTTCACATGTTTTAATACCCAGTCACCCAAGGATCTGTGCTAATGTAGTTTCTTCCTTAAATGTGCATTTCCTTGCTGTAATGCTAAAACAGCACTGCTTTTCTTTCCATTTTGATTGTGTATGGAGTTCTATGGATCATCATTTCTAACCACCTATATATAATGATACAAAAATGTAAGCTGTGAATAAAATGGACTTAAGTTTCCTCACTGACTTGGTGATCTCAGTGGGGCTAGACCACTGATGGGGGCACCAGGCAGTTTTTTCATAGCAAAGGGTATTTTACAAATCCCTTTCAGGCAAGCATATCTGTGGGGGCTGTGTCTTGCCAATAAAGGCATACTCATAATTGGTAGCTTTCGACAGTCGCCTTTGGAATGAATATTGAGATTTGAATGGCCCTCTATCAGCTGACGAGGAGCATGAGAAGAATAAGGCTAGAGTAGTCCACCTTTTCCATCCATTGTCTAATTGGGAATACTGCAGAAGTTTTCAAGTGTGCTATTGCTTCTTTACTTTCAGCTCTCATTCTTCCTTTCCTATCTGAAGGTCCACATCTATCTTAGACTCGTGGAAACCACTTGCTCTTTCACTGGGCAAAACTTTTTTGAGCGAATGACCTTGGGTTCAGGTTTTTGGTTGTTAACAAATCAAGCAGGGTCTGACCTTCGAGAAAAATGATGTGTCAGACAGTTCCCCCTTGTCTCATTTTGTTATGTAAATAGTGCCCTTAAAAACCTTTTCTGTCCCTCTTCAGCTTTGGTGTCTACCACGAAACAGGTGGCTTCCCTCATCTGTTTGTGCAAATTCAGAAACTCCACGCCAAAGTTAGAGACAGCCAGATATTTAAGTTGAAAGTGCAGTCAAGAAGTTAAAAGTTATTTTTGGAAAATGCCTTCTAAACGTGAAGCTTTTTGCCTGTATCATGAAAAGGGGCAAAGGGGCGTTCGTGGAAATGATTAAATCATCTGTGCCATTGGAATCTTAGGCCTATGCTTACTGCTGGGTGACCTATAGTGTGTGGCTTAATGTCTCTGGACATCAGTTTTTTTCATCTGTAATGTGGGGGTAGCACACCTAATTTTAATGCCTTAGTGGGTTGTTGCAAGTGGGTTGTTCAAATGAAATAATAAGAAAGAGCTTAGATGCTATAGTTTATTGGGGAAGTCTAAAAGTCAAGTCACCAACAGCTCAAGACCAGTAGTCCCAGGCTGCTCCGTTTGGTGTTATTTGCTATGGCCCCCCTGGGGGGGGAAGGTGGGTAGGGGCCAGGCATGTTCCTCCAGCCCCAAACCTTGTGCTGCCCAAATGTTGCCAAAGGATGACATTTTAAGACAACATATGATAACACTGCTTGTTGGTGCTAAATTTTGAACTGAGTAAAACAACAAAAGTGGGCAATGTTCAGCAAAATAATGATTACAGTTAGATTCCTGGAGGACAGGGGCTGAATTTTATATGGATGTTCCACCCTCACCATTCCCAGAGCTCTTAGGCACATAATAAAGGATTATTAAATAAATGAGTTTGCAGTGCATTGTTGAGACATTTTGAATTGGACTTCTAAACTTGGTGGGTCATTTTGGAGTAATGATAACCTTGCTTCCCAAGTCACAAAAATGTATCTCCAATTATGTGACAGAAAATAATCATACTTGCATCCATTAGACAAAAGAAATCTAGAAAGCTGCTCAGTATTTGTTCAAAATAATGAAACTATTTTAAAAACGAAAAGAAAATTCATCCTGGGATAATTCCAAGAGATGAGGATAAATGGGTTATTTGTAACAACCGAGTGTTCAGATAGCACTGAATAATTCACAACAAATGCATCTGGGCATCGGTCACGGGTTAGTCCTGGGGAAGTGGCAGGACCTTTGTGTGGTGGGTGGTAGACTCCCTCCTCATCGAGGGACCCATCAGAGCTGGCTTCTTTACCAGCCCCTGGGTTTTCTATGCTCACCAATTGAAAATGGGACATTAGTAATGAAAACATTTTCTGAAAAATCCTTTGCATTGATTCATTAACCACAAACTATTTCTCACCAGTCATGAAGTGCTAAATGGTTTATTCTTTCCACCTTCCTACTGCAGGAAGCAAGGCACACAATGACTTAGAGATTTCTCTGAAATCACGCCTAAATTGGCAGAACTGAGAAAGAATAGAATCCACTGTTGTGTGTTTTTTTTCCTGAGGTGAGAGAGTTTTGAGATGCTGGAAGAAGGTCTCAGAGGAGCAGTAAGGGTGTTAGAGGTTGAGGTGATGAAAAGATTATGAACAACCCCACCCTCCAGGCCCTGCAATATGTAATTCAAAAACAAGAACAATTATAAGCTGTAAAATAAGAGGAAGTCGAACACAGTTTTGATTTTTTTCCCCTATGATGACCATGTCAACGAATTTTGAAATTTCAAACACCAGATTCTTTAAGAATGGCTCCTAGCAGCCTTGCTTGCAGGTTCTCTACACCTTCTCTCCTCGCCTGCTCAGGGAGCACAGCATCAGGCTCTGAACAGTAACCTGGGGGGAGGTGCGCTCCTCACTAGGGGCGGGTTGTGATGTTCTTGGTGCCAAGCATCTTTGGAACTGTCTCCAGCAAACATTTGCTGAGCACGGACTAAGGCACTGTGCTAGGTGTAGGGGGGAAAAGGTGAAGGAGACAGGCACTCACACAGGAACTACAACCAAAGTGTGCAAGTATCATGAGATACATGGCTTCTATTATACTTCAACATGGGCAAAGGCTTTATGTAGGAGGTGGCACTCAAGCTAAGTCTTAAGAATGCATAGGATGTCATCCTGGTGGGGTGGCTCAATTGGGTGGAGTGTCGTCCCATACATCAAAAGAGTTGTGGGTTCCATTCCTAGTTAGGGCACACATCTAGGTTGCAGTTTCAATCCCCAGTCCTGCACATACGAGAGACAACTGATACTTGTTTCTCTCTCTCCTCTCACTTCTCTCTCTCTCTCTCTCTCTCTCTCTCTCTCTCTCTCTCTCTCTCTCCCTCCCTCCCTCCCTCCCTCCCTCCCTCCCTCTCTCCCTCTCTCCTTCCCTTCCTCTCTCTCTAAGATCAATGAACATATCCTCAGGTGAGAATAAAAAAAAAAAAAAAAAAGAATGCATAGAATGTCAGCTGGAGA